TTCTGGCCACCATTCGCGCCCGCAATGGCTCTTCTTCGCCTTTTATTTTCCTTACCGGGATTCATCGATTTACCTTTTGACCCGGCCTTTCATCTACCTTTCTTGCATTCAAATCCCGGTTCCCAAGCCCTGGGGACTACGGGGTTCCAAGTATACCGCAACCCATACATGGAACAATGTACATAATGGTATTCAGCATTCTTCCTTACAGGAACTATTTTACACCAGAAGATATTCGCCTGGATTCTCCAGTATAATCATTTCACAATATTACACAGCAACAGCTACTGCAATAGCACTGCATTAACACAGACAAAACCACCGGAATGACGCAAACTTTACGAATAATGACACCGCCGCCACCCACAAGGACAGCCACGAGCGCACAAATACCTGTGCGTATATTCTGTGAACTCGTGCAATTTCATGTTCGCCCTTGCGCACATGGCATGTAGAAATGCAAGGCTTATGGCTTATATGCAGCCAAGCTTCTGAGCCATTTTAGGGCTGGTAAATGTCCTCAGTCAATCTTGTCATTGGGCTCCCTTGTCGATTCGGCTTGGGTTTTGGGGTTCATGGCTTCTTGTCGACTCTCACTCTGGCACAAGGCAGGCAAGGCTAAACACAAGGGCCTCTTTCGGTTCCTACCGAACCTCAGAAAATGGAGGTTGTTCTACCCAACCCTAAACTAGAATTACAGAGACTTGCATGAGAACCTACCGCAGCACAGGTCCAGGAAAGGAGCAAACGGAGAGAGGATTTTAGGGTTTTGGGTTTAGGGTGTCGACGCTCACACTCGGACAATGCAGGCGAGGCATGTGATCTTGGGTCGGGTTTAGGGTTTAGGGCCTTCGAATCGAATCGCAACTCTGAGCCAGCGGCTCGCCCCACAATGCCGAACGGTGTAACGTAAAGGCAACCCCTGCTAATAACCTGCGCGCGGGTCTCCAGTCCACACTGCAAACCAAGGCTCCGAAGTCTGTCGGAAGCGCGATCAACCGATTCATTGACAAGTCTGCGTGCTGTAGACTTGTCAGTCGGCCCCAGCCATCCTGGGCGTGCGGCTCTCTGCAGACAGGGCCCACATCACTCGAGTCCCAGTGGCAGGTAGTGCGCTGAGGCGATTCTTGCTCAAGTCGAGCTTGCGCAGGCTTTTCAGGGAGATGAAGCCTGATAGCTCTCGTTCAGCCGAGTCCGACTAAACTAACGAGCCCGAATCAAGTCTCTTCAACTGGACAATCCGCCTAAATACGCTGAATACTTCCTCAGCATCGTCGTACATTTAGAGCTTCGTAATGCAAACGGGGAAACCTAGCCTGCGGGGAGGTCGAGCAGCTGGTTGGCAGACACATCCATCCTTAGGCTGTAGTTTTCGGCTGCTTGCATTTGCAGCGGTGCGTGGTCGTGCTTCAAGCCTGTATTTCTTTCCTATTGCCGTACGACAGTCAAAACGAGCTCTCGAATATACTTAGCTGTCCGCCTTCCGTTTAGACGAGGCCGGGGCACAGCTGCAAGCGGTCGAGACCACCAATCGTGTCGGGAAGCTTTGACAACCTCAAAATTCCGGCGAAAGTCGAGTAACGATTACCGGATAAACGACGCTTTGAGTTCATGTTGTAACCACGACAAGAACACGTGAACCTGGCACCTATGACAAGGATTGTGGGCACTCTGACGCGAATCTGAACCATCAGCCAGTCTACTGTTGAGAATCTTTGTCTCTGGGGCAGGGATATGAGCTTCGGGTGGGGACATGAGCAGGGGAGGTTTGGCACTGACTCTGGTATATCGGCTCCAACTAGTCCCTGGCTGAGGCAGAAAAGGAAGGAGTATACTTCACGCAGGGGTAAACAGGTGGAGATGCAATGTAGCAGTGTCACAGGGAACAGAGCTTGACTGTGTAGGCATTGGCTAGGGCCGGGTGCTAGAGTTCCACCTTGTGGTGCATAGGGTTCCGCCTTGCTGGTGAAGATTACGTCGAGTGGCGCCGTCCATGGAAACTGGGAATAGGCACAACTTCCCTCACTCGGACACTCTCGTTTATCACGGGTCCAAATTCACTGCAAGCCCAGAAGCTCGTTGTGCGAAAGAAGCAGAGAGTCCAGGCCGGCCATGCTTCCCAGATCTTCCGGCAACAGCGTAATCCGATTGTCTGCCGCCTTCAAGCAGCTCACACCCCGTAGCCGAGTCAACGTGGAGCTCATCTCACCACGCAGCTGCCACCCATCCAAGGCCAGTGTCCCATCATTGAGCAAGCTGGGCGTGCAGTCCTGCGGACTGCTTCTCTACTCCATTACTCCCCTTTCCACTTTAGAACATAAGAGAACGACCAATCATGGGACTGCCGGACGGGCTGGGTGACAAATATTAGCTTTCGAATCCTGCGCTTCTTGCTCAACACAGGTGTAACGCATGTTTCGTGCAGCGCCATGGTGCGAGTGTCAAGCACTGAACATGCGGAATCTGCTGTTGTCCAGACTGTGCCTGTAGGCCCGGCAAGCTCCGCAGAGCGCCCGCACATTGCAGCAGCCAGAGGCTTAGCCAATCCGGGTGTTTGCTGCCGCGCTGCCTCAGCGTCAATGTTCAGCTACTTAGCTACTCCGAGGTCAGGAACAGGGCAAGCAACTGTGTTCTGGCTTCGGCTGTTACTGTTCTCGCCCAAGAGGCAGGGAATCGGCAATCGGGTTGCCTTGCAGATCCAATGTGTGCAGCATCAAGAAATCTGCAAATCGTGGTGGCAGTCGCTCGATCCTGGGCTTGCTGAGGTGCCAAGATTCGACAAGGCTATCCTTAAGAACCCGCGCCAGCCTACTGTATGCTTTCAACACTTCGGCCCGATTTTTCTTGCGTTCCTGCCAGTAGTAAGACTAATATGCGGACGTACGAGCTCACCTCAGCCAAAGGCTCCGGTTGTCGGGTGCGAGCAGCTTGCGCAAGGAGGGAAGCACCCCGAAGTTCAGTGACACCAAGCAGTTGCTACCCACATCCAGTGTCTGCAATCCGGTGAGGTTCTCGAGGGGCGGTAGCTCCATGATCCAGTTCTGGGCAAGATCCAGGTATTGCAGGTTCGTCAAGGTGCAGAGTTCGGATGGCAGAGCCTGTGGGAAGGGAAAGGCCGGCTGTGTATTCTGTGAAGCTTAGGGTGTGGGGTTTTAGGGTTTAGGGATTTAGGGTTTTTGGGTTTACGCTCTCACAACTCGGACAAGCCAGGCGAGGTTTAGGGTTTAGGATTTTAGGGATTTAGGGTTTTTGGGTTTAGGATTTTAGGGTTTAGGGTTTTTGGGGCTTAGGGTTTAGGGAAGTCTATGAACAGCCTCCAGCATGTTGTGTGCGAGCTGCACCCCTCGCAAACATAGGCATCTGCCCATGTCGGGCGGCAGCTGCGCGACCTTTTGCAGGCAATGAAGCCAACCACGAACGGCTAACAGGCTTCCGGGTACGCAGTATGCTAATGGATGTAGATATATGTCAACTCTAGGAGTAGTCATATAATATACTATAGTATAATATAATATAATATATTATAACATGTGATAATATGATGTACTATAATATAGTATAATAAAATGTACTATAATAAAATGTAATATATAATACGATACAATAAGTATCTCCAATTCTTACGGCCTTTCTAGGCTGGACTCTTCCGGGCACCTGGTTCCCCCCAGCCCAAAACGATCGCAGCCGCGACAGGCGACCAATGCTCATCGGCAAGCTCTCCAGTCGATTCTCGGTCATGTCCAAGTCTTCCAAGGGTAATTCGTCGATGTCCTCCTCGACACTTGTCGTCTTAAGCATGGGAAGAATGGACCATTACAAGCTCGCCTTTGCATCAACTATCAGCTCTAACTGAATGCTGGCAAAGAGCCGGAACCTCGCGCAACAAGTTTTTCTTGGCATTGAACCTGCGCTTCGCATGGCCAAACGGCGTGGAACCCCTGAGGCAGTTTTTACTGCAGAGCCTCTCGAAGAAGTCTGATGTCCACGAGTTCGGCATCGAGTTGTTGAGAGTTTTTTCTCAATCCGCAAACACGGCCTGACCAGCCATGCCAAGGAGCACAGCCAAACTGGTCAAGCGCCCGAAAGGAGACGGCAGCTTGCCCAGCCTCGATTTAAACACAACAGCTCTTGACCCTGCGTCAACATACCTCCTGCAGCACTCCTACGATAAGCAAGAAATAGTATGAAATCTTCCCAGCAGCTTGTTGTCGGAGATATTGAGATGTGTCAAAGATTTCAAACTAAGGATCGTCTCTGGCAAGATCTCGATACAATTGGCCTTTGAGCTTTCAGAATTGGAGTCGGGGATGGCACGGAGCACTGATCCTAGAAGCCTTGTGGCAAGAACGCCGATGAACCCTACCGGCGGTACGCAGATTGCTCGACTGGTTTCAGGACGAGAGTCCGAGACATCTAGGAACTGGAGGCCACTCAGATCGCCTGAGAGGACAGGAATGCACGATTTTGGACACCATTCGCACAGGAGTTTGATCAACTCTCGATACCATGGGCTTCTGGGATGTAGAAGACAAGGACCAAACTTCAGTCAAACTGGCAAGCTTCGAGCCATGAACCCCGCCCCCACCCCTATTGCAAGTACCCGCGGAATGCGCATGTACGTGCAGTCTTGATTTCTCTCTTGCTTTTCCCTGCGGTAGTCTCCCTCTCCCTGTCCATAGTATGTGTATATATATATATATAGATATGTTGTATACCTGTATATATGGCCATGTAATGGACACATAAATCGCTAGTACACACGTATATGTATATATATATATACACATACACACACACACACATATATATATATAGAGTTGTATAGCTGTCGGTGTGAGTCTCTCTCTTTCTTTCTATACATATATACACATCAACATACACATGTAAGGATGTATGGGTGTATGTATGCATGTATGCATGTATGCATGCATGTATGCATGTATGTATGTATGTATGTATGTATGTATGTATAATATACACAAATATTTTTACAGTACTCGTTTATGTGCACCGTGACGCACCTACGATCTGCATGTGCTGGCTACTGTGTCTTGTGCCTAGTCTTCTGCAAGCCGTGTGGCCAATGCTCGAGGGAAGGCCACGGACGTGCGAGCGGCTCACCAGAAGCATCTCCAAGCTGCGAAGATCTCTCAATGGAAAAGGGAGCTCGGACAGCTCGGGCAGCTGCACTGACGCGATTCTTAGATCGCACCATCTTTATCTAGCCTTCGGCTTATATGGCATTCAGAAAAACAGTTTGTTCCACTACTACCTGGTCCCGTCAGAAACATGTGCTGCAAAGAGGCTCCAGCCGCTTCTTGTCCTGCAGCTCCTGACTCATGCTTTACGGTTCGCGCAGCTTTGTAGGACGGCTTGGCTGCAACCAACTCTGACGTCATGGCTGCCAGGCAGTTCAGGCTTGCTTCAGGTGTCTGCTGTGCACATCTAGCCTAATCTAGAATCTAGCCATGCAGGTATGTTCTCTCGCAGCGGCGTGGGCTTCAAGCCACACCTGCCATCGAGGGCTGCAAAAACGTAGAAATACATCGAGCGACTGACACCCAACCTGCACAGGCATTGCAAAGAGCACTAGTTTATCGGCAGCAAACGAACGGACTGACTGTTTGAGATCTGCGAGGTATCAGGAAACCGAAAGTGCCACTCCTTCATCATCGGTTCATCCGCTGTCCTGGAAGGTCTTGGCCCCCGCTGCGCGCAGAAACTGCTCTCCGATCCGCTCTGCAGCATGAGAAGCCTTGGCAGCTCGCATCCCTGTAGAGTTGCAACAATCGCCTGGCTTTCAAACATACAGCTATAGTTTTCGTTCTGGTAATCCCTTCTAGTAATTAAGCTTAAAGGGGTAGCTCCATGCCGCAAGTGCCAGTCAGGCAGCTGGAGCACTAGCGCCCCGCTTCCGCTCTAGCTCTTCCAGCTCGTCGAAATCCATGGCAGGCTTGATGCGACACAGGCAGAAAAAGCTTGAGAAGCGACTTCCCAGCATACAGCACTTAAATACTTGAAGAGTGAACAGCTGAACCATGCATGTTCGACATCCTTGCCCGAACAAAGCAAGGGAGGCCGAAGCACCGATTCCCACTCCTCCACCTCACCTTTCGTGATGCTGGAGAGAACCTGCTCCAGGACACCACCCAGCTCATGCATCAAGTGCCTAAGCTGCGAGTTCCACTCCCGCAGCTAAAGATGCATAGGTTGTGTTGGTTCGTCGATGGGGTTCTATTCTCTGCTATCTTGCATGTCAGGCAAGTTTAAACTCCATCTATCAGGGCTTCCCCCTGCTGTCTCGCATGCTATCAGGGCTCTCGGTGGAGCGCCAGGGAGGATGTGACGCAAGAAAACTTGATTCTATTCATTGGCCAAGCTGCAGAAGCACATCTGACTCGCCAGACTCGATACAATCGTCATCCTCGAAGTTGTCCAAAGAAAGCGGCGGCAAAGCAGGCGCAGAGGAGGCCTCCAAAGAGGATGCCGCAAGGCCTGCAGGCTAAACTTCCAGAAACACTCGGGTCGGGCAACGACATGTCCTGCAGTTGGCGTCATGAGCTGCCCTTGCCGAGAGCTGCGTGACTGCTATGCTTCATCAAAAGTGAGAGCGATGCGCTCGCCTGAAGCTGCTAGGATCACCCAGAAGCACCTGCACAGGCCACAGAATGAGCAGAACTTCAAAAGTCGACAAAATGCCCCTCTGTGCCTATTGTCCCGGCCTGAGATTGCAAGCTGTGGGAGCTGCAAACCGCGTGCTGCATACCATCGGCAGCATGTTTACCAGTGGACCATGTGCTTGTGTTGAGCTAAAACAGGGGGCGCTGGGGTTTTGTGCCTTGCGGCATCTTGCGGCCGAACTCCTAAAGAGCCCTAAGAATCTTGGTGGGCACGGGAAACTCTGGCTTCTTTGGAGAACAGGACAATCAATCTAGACTCTAGACCCTAGACCCTAAACCCTATCTAGACAGTCTTGGTGTATTCTTGGCTGCAGGGGTGGAACGGCCAGCAAAGCAAGGCATGTCTCGGCTTGCTTGGCTGCACGAGTTCATGTCATGTCCCTTGTGCTTGCCTACGGTGTAAACCTTGCAGCCAACTTTGCGGGAGGCTTTGTGAAAACATCTACAGAATCTACTGTATGTAGCGCAACCCGCTTGTGTCGCGCACTCCGAGCATGCCATGGGCTACAGGTATTTCATGGCCGCTGCAAGCTTATGGCCTTGTCCTAATCAGCTTTGGAACACAAAGTTGACCGACAATGATCGACAACAACCTGTAAATCCTCGCCCCCCCCGAGTCCGCGGCATCTGCCACTTGGCCAAGGTCCTCTGCCGTCGGTGCTGTCTCGCGGCCGCCAATGAAAGCATAGCCTGCGAGCAGCTAGGTGGCAAATGTTGCACAATCTGCCTAGCCTGAAGAACTGCAAGCATGCCCTCACCAGGAGTGACCTTGTCAAGGGCCACATGGAACAAGCGCTTTTGACTCTCACATCTGGGGCATGCCAGGTGCGGCTTCGGTTGGTCTTTGTATCCTTACATGCATGGATGTCTTCTTGTGACTTCCACACCTCTTAAATGCTACAGCTGCCCTGCCTATCCCAGGATAGCCCATGCTATGCCCGTTCATAGCTCCCGAAGAATACAGGTCAAAGATCGCTTCTCTTCCTCTGCGGTCTTTCGAAGGGCATTGAGGAAGTTGGCTATAAGCTGTAAGGAGTCGCGTGCCTGTTGCACATCCGCGCAGTCCGCGACCTTCACACGCACCAGTCTTCTAAGGGCCACAGCTCTCTGAACCAGCTCCTGTCGTTCCCGGTCCGATAGCAAGCCCTCCAGCTCGGGGCTACCAAGCGGTGCCTCAAGAGCACTGTTGGCCTGGTCGCCGGAGTCCGTTTCCGAGTTGAAGGGCAGGAGCATCCGGGACAAGGCGCCTGTGCGCATCCCGAGCTTTCCAGCACACTCTTCCAAGAGATCCAAGAACTCCAGGCAGTCTTGGGCTCCACGTGCCGTCCGCATGATGGCAGAGTCACTCGCCACTGCTTCGAGGCCATCACGCAAGAGGAACTGGGCGAGGGACCACTGTTGCTTCAGAGTTTCTCGGCTCTCTGTGGTCTCCGAGATCTCTGTAGGAAACTGGAACGGTGAGACTGCTCGGGGCCGGCGGGAACTGCTTGGTGTGCTGGGGTTCGAAAAAGCCTCTGCTTTAGGACTGGCTTGTCTCCGGCCAAGTGCATCGGTGAAGTATACCATGGGTTCCTTCGGTGCTTTCGGTCGGGACTTGATGCCTGCACAAATCGGGACATGTCGAGCTGCGGCCTCTCGAGAAAACCTGCGAGAGCAGTGAGGACATTGTTCCGTTGCCGCCAGTTCGGTGAAGCCCACGGCCGCCAGGCTCCGGCTGTCGAACCTCTCTTCTCGGCCGCTACCTCCGCCTCCTCCTCCGCCTAAACTGCGGCTCTTCTGTGCACTTGGGGGTGGCATTGGCACATCCTGCTCTGAGCGGCGCTCCGAGCGGCTTGTGAGTGCACCGACATGGAGGTGATCATTCTCTGTGTCTTTTCGGTCCTTGCGATCCTCACCTAGGGGCTGTAGCTGTGGAGGCCCTTTATTCCGGCCACTCTTCGGTTTTCTCGTTGCAGGCAACCTCGCCAAATTGGGATTGTGAGTCTTCAGCAGCCTCAAATAATGCGAGGGAGCGAAGTCAGACTCCCGGCGGATGTCGCTCTGCCTTGCTCGCTGCGCATCTTGCTCCATGAAGCTCCAACGAGAAGGCCCTGCTCTTTAAAACATGAAACGAACATCAAGTGTGCTGCTTCCGTTCCGGCGCTTCTCGCACGAGGTGTTTCGGAGAAACATGTGATCCCAGGCTTGCAAATTGTTTGCTCACTAAGTAAGACTCTAAGATCTCCCCGAAACAAAAGACCGAACGAAACTTGAGCCGTACACAGAGGTTGTCACAGCGATTCGGACATGCCAGGGGGCCCAGGTCACAGACGATCACACATCCCAAGAACAAGCAGACCCTTGCATGCAGGCCTGCGCGAACGAACGCACGACATGCACTCACAAGCAAACAAAGCGGCCAGAGGACTCGGAAGACCATGCTCCCTTTGCGGTGATGCACCTTCTCCCTCAGCAAGAACTGGGTATAGTCGTGCGTGGACCAAGGACAAGGCTTGAAGGTTCTCCTCACTCATGCGCAGAATCAGGACTTGTTGTTGAAGAGGACGACGACCGGACTTTAATTTCTGCTATTTCTCCGCCTGTTGCGCGACTTCGAAGCAGTCGTCGCACAAGAAGACAAAATTGCGGCAGGCGTGGCTAGCATCTGCTCTTGCTGCTCCTGCTTCTCTTCCTGCTCCTACTAGCTACAACTACCTACTTACTGACCTCTACTACATACGAGTACCAGTGACTGCAAATTACTGAGAACTAACTAACTAGCTACGAACTACCACTCCTGTCGACCACCTACCCGGACCTGCCACCTACAACCTGGGGACTTCTGCTGCTATGAGTGCTAGAAACGACTTGCCACCACCACCGCCACTAGCTCTCCTAGCTACCCGCGAGTACCACAAGAACCACCACCAAAGCCACCAGCACCACCACCAATGCTGCAAATGCTCCTGCCATTGTTCCTCCCCTACTGGAAGGATGACGGCCTCACTGCCAGTAACCGCTGCTTCCCCTTTTTTGAGCAGGAACTGCAATGCACTAAGCCCCGAATCCCTTCAGCCAAGCTCCCCTACTTGCTGAGATCTTCTGTGGAGGAGGTGCTGGTGACCCTAGTTATGGTGATCACCATATTGCTAGTCATGGTCCTGGTCTGCTCTGCCCTTGAGCGCGATGAGCACTACCTTGGCCACACAGCGAATCTGCAACCTGTTGACATTGAACAGATTCCGTGCAGCTAAGAGTGGAACAGTGTCCAGGTCGAGGTCAAGCAAGTCCTGAGGATGCGACATGCATGAAGGGGATCTGCATGAACCCTTTCTTTGTCGCTTGAGGGCAGCCTTCTTGAGTTGGCCTGGGTGTCTCTCATCGTAAGATCTGGCGAAGAGAACCTGCGAGACGTTGCAGAAAGCAAAGCCTGTTGACACAAAAGCCTTTCCCAGCGCGGCGAAAGACTTTATGTTAATGCATTCATGAAGCGCTGCATTTGCATGATACATTCCGTCCAATGGAAAGGCACGGCGAGCATTGTGTTCCAGGCCAATTCTGTCAACCGATTATAAGTTCAGTTCGTCAGGTCCGAAGCAGGTATGGCAGGTGAGCCCATGAAGCCTCCTCGGTGCTAGCGTTGATGGCCACCAGGTTGACCTCGAAACCCCAAACGAGTCTGCAGTGAATCAGAGTCACCTGCAGCTGAGGTCAGCACACCTCTACCAGGAAAGAAGCCTACAGTGCTGGCTGCACGACGCAATTTCTACAGAACATGCTGTGTGACCGCAGCTTATTTGTGCAGGCAGCCGAGTGCCAAGGCAGGAAGAGGTGCATGAATCGGTGATTTGCCAGCACCGTTTCCACTTTCTGCCACACCAACCCGACATTTTCAGCTGCCGCAAAACCCTTTGTATGTCTTTGAGCCCAGCTGCTGATGGGCCGGCCAGAGACGAAGAATGATGCCCAGCCGTCAGCCTGCAGTGTGAAGACGCATTGACTGTCGGCCTGGCGCACCTCGCATGACCGACCCGCAACACCGTAATTTACCTGGATCCCCAGCCCGCTGTCAAACTACGATGGCTTGTGTACGACCACAGCAAGCGGCCCAGCGCGCTTGCTTCGCAAAGCTGACAACTCGCGCGATGGCGCAGGCCTGGCTTAAGAGTGGTAGTGGTAGTGGTGCATGGTAGTGGTAGTGGTAGTAGTAGTCGTAGTCGTAGTCGTAGTCGTCGTCGTCGTCGTTGTAGTAGTAGTAGTAGTAGTAGTCGTCGTCGTCGTAGTAGTAGTAGTGGTAGTAGTAACAATAATAATAGTAGTAGTAAGGAAGTGATAGTAGTAGGCTCTCTCACGTTTTGTTCAATTGTTTCTTTCTTTCACTGTTTCCTTCCTTTTGTCCGCTGCGTTATTTGTTGCTTTCCTTCTTTCTCTCCTTCTTTCTTTCATCTTTGCTCTCGCTCCTTCTGTCTTCCTTTCTGTATCTCTTGCTTTTGCTGTGTCGTTCATTTGTTCTTGCTTGCTTTCTTTCTGTCTGTCGTTCTGTCCTTATTTCTGGGTTTGTTCCGCTCTTTGCTTCTTTCTTTCTTTCTTTCTTTCTTTCTTTCTTTCTCTCTCTCTCTCTCTCTTCCTCTCTTTCTTTCTTTATCTCTTTCTTTCTTTGTTTCTTTCGTTCGTTCTTTCTTTCTGTCCTTCTTTCTTTCTGCCTGCGCCCCTTCCCCTTGAGTTTCCATGCTTAGTAATAGCTTTGTTTTGTTTTTGGGGCGTTTTTGCTTTTGTATTGCTGCTTCTTATTCTTTTTGTTGATGCATTGTTTGTTTTTTTTGATGCCTCTCCCTTGCTGGGTAGGGTTTCGGGATGTTTCGGGCCTAGCGGTTTGGGGTCTACTGTAGGTCATTCACGTCTTGATGCTCACTACAAACTGCAACCTGCTGCTGCAGGGATTCACTAAAGTGTCGAACCTGACCTCTGCACGCTTGGCGACCACACATCTAGTGCAAACAACGTTTGAAGGTTCCCCTCCGTGTCTCTCGCACGTCATCGAACCGCCGATGTATCGCCTCTGCGGCAGTTGCCAGGGCCTCGGCAGAGTTCAACAGCAAGCTCTTTAACGCTGGCAATGGTCTGTTACGTGGTGTCTTAGAGTCGGGCAATCAGCGCGCTTACCCGGAAGATCGTCCATGGCTGCATTCAACACAAAAGAGCTTGAGACTATGTTATGCACTTCTGCTGCTAGTAGCTACTGTGATTATAAGGTGTACCACGTGCTTGTATCTACCTGCTCTTTTTCAGATGCCGTGGCACATGATGCTCGCCCGCACCATAATCACGCCCGGTAATATGGGTTGGTTTCATCTGCTTTACCGACCGTCGGGCCCTCTTCATGCCTCCAGGAAGTTTGAGAAACCAAAATCCCGACTCAACTGATAAGGCTCTCACGTAGAAGCTCGTGCAAGCGGATGGGTGCCCGATCTTCTCCAACTCATTAGTGCAACACTTTTCGTCACTCCCGGCAGGGCTATGCAAGAAGTTAACCAATTTCAATGATCTGTCTATTCTTGTTCTGCTGTCGACGAAGCCATTTCCTTGGACACAGCATTGCGTCTGCTTATTGGCATGACGCTGTGTCGATGCTGCCAGCCCCTTGTACAGATGAGCATCTGGTACCACTCCTCCTGCTTGTAATCCTGAGACTACGATGCTCACGACGAAGCTTCTCTTTCGGACAAACTAGGTGAGGAAGGTTCAGGGTTCAGGGTGATCTTGAGGCGACAATGAACCATAGACGCCTCTTTCATTCTGAATGCATTCGAGTCGCCTCTTTCTTCGACTCCGCAGGTTTTTCTACCGGAGCTCCCGGCGGGGCCATGGCATCTCTCCAATATGCCTTCAAGTCTTCATCAGAGTACTCTCCTTACAGATGCCGCTGCGATCTGCGCAGACAGAAATAGGGATTCGACTTAGACGAAACAAGCATGAACCATCACGAGACATTGGTAGCGCCAAAGGTCCGGCGTATGCCTTCTTCAACTCATCAAACGTGTACGTCTTCCCATCATCTGGACAGACCCGCTTCTCCTTAGATGCTCCCGTCGTTGGCATCCTAGTCCCGACTTCCCCAAAGCAACTCAACTCAAGCTCTCAAAGGAAAGCCACAATGAGCCTGCATGCACACTCGCAGTGCCGAGGAACTTCCGCGCTGCTAGAGCTGGAAGCCTCCACGTCTCTACAAACGGCCGCATATACCGCATCAATGAACGCAGGTCATGATCAATACTTGGTCGGTTCCATGACAATGGCTTCGCGTGCGCTACGCGTGCCCGGTTGCAGGCGACGAGGCCTGCGGATCGCCAGAGCTGCTCGCTGCCACATCTTGCGTCGAAGCCTGAGGCTGAGGAGCGCCTGCCAAGACCACGTTGCTTCGTAAGAGATGGGGATTTCCGAAAAATAGGGGACCCTAATATAGCACCCTAAATAGCAAGATCCTTATTATAAGGTCCCTAGAATAAGGTACCCCTTGTTTAATTCCCAGATCGCAGCATGTCACAGGTCAAGACAAGCAGGCGAGGCCAATGTCGATCACGTGAGTGGGCTGATTCTTCTGGCGTCGTAGCCATTTTTGGTACCACTCTTCATTCTCGTGCGGGTGTCTCGCTGGCGCGCTCTCCGGCTCTGGCATGCTGTGGAAAGACATCTCCTGCTGACAGGAGATACAGTAGAAAGTGAGGAATGTTCTTGAAGGGACGCGCTCCAACAAGGTGTCTGGTCGGGAGTCCTGATCCATTGCGGGCGCTGGGTGAGTGTCGGAATCAGCGACCGCCTCAGGAACCTGGACCTATGGCAAGGATCAACACGGGACACAAGGCCATGCACAGCAGTCTCAACGTGACGGTACGCCCATAGACGCATAAATCCACGCCTCGTCTGCTTCCACCTTCTTTGCTTTCGTGACGAAGCTCTCAGTCTGTGGTTCTGCCCGTGCGCCTCAAAAAACGGGCAAATTCTCGCAAAAGAGGCTCTGAAAACCGTCAGCTCATCGGATTCCGACTTGACAAAAAGCTCGTGCTGGTAATGTCTAGCAGCCGCTTTGCTCTTTTTCCTTCTGACGGAGAAGCCACTTTTGATACCACTCCTCGTTTTCGTGGGCTGGTCGGCTGCTCTCCTTCCATGGTTGCTGGCCCGCGGTCTCTCTGCAATGAGCTAGAAAGGGCTTGGCCAGCTTGGTACAGCTTTTGGCGGAACTGCCGAGCTTCACTCTCTGTCGCTCTCTCCCTATCTCTCTCTCTCTCTCTCTCTCTCTCTCTCTCTCTCTCTACCAGCCATGGGGGTCGGGCAGCGTCCAGGCCCTTCCCCCGCANNACGCGAACGCGCAGCCGCGGTTCATTCTCTCTCTCCCTCTCTCTCTCTCTCTCTCTCTCTCTCTCTTCTTCTTCTTCCCCAGGGCAAGAACAAGGTTTACGTGTTTTCCCGCGGTCGATTCCAGTAAGTGTTGTTAGAATGAGGGAGTTCTCCCCCGGGTTTACACGTTGCAGTGCAGCTTTGGGACGCCCTGCGGAACAGTTGTTTTCTCTCTTCTTCCACACAGACAAAGGGCAAGCAGCGCTCACCCCTGCACGCGCGCGCGCACTGTCCTCCACTGTCCGGTACAACTGCTAAGGCAGATGAGGCACCGTTCGCGAACTTGTTAACCCCCTATACCTACGTACCCCCGGCCTCATCCGCAAGGCACACACCAGTTCTGTGGCGCAAACTCACACTATGTTACAGACGTACAACTGGCTGCTGCTCTGCGCCCCCCAACCGACAAAGCACAAGAACATGCTGACATCACAATGGCATACCCCTCTGGACTCAAAGCAGCACTACAGTTTTTTTTTTTCTCTCTCTCTCTCTCTCTCTCTCTTTTCTTTCGCCAGGGCTAGGGGCAAGGGGATTGCTCCCATTGCCCGCGCGCGTCAGCGCCCCCGACCGTTGTGGAGGGGCATGGAGAGACAACACAGCACCACCAAGGCAACTACGCCTGTTGGCCAAATACAATCTCTCTCTCTCTCTCTCTCTCTCTCTTAATTCCTTCAGGTCAAAGGGGCGGGTCAGGCCCCCCGGCCCTTAGGGCCCCCCACGTACTTGGCGGGGCTCTCTCTCTCTTTCTTTGTTCTGCCTGCTTTTCTGGCATCGTGCGTCCACAATTTCCTGGCATGAGTCCTTGTCGACTTCGTCTCGAGGCTTCTGGGTCTCCAGACTTGGCTGAACAGCTACATCGGAGGAAGCCTGCAAGAATTGTCGGTTCTGACATGCAGATGTGAACCGAGTTAAGGAGGACCACTGCCTGCTTCGCTTCCTGCGCAGCCGCACTTGCCTCTTGGCTGCCGCTTTCAAAAGGCGGCACCCACTTGGACTCTTGGCCTCCTTCCCCGTCCTGCTTCGGGTCTGGGGTCCCCTGTTCCTGCTTGGGCTGCTCGTCCCGTTCGCTTTTCCACCAGCCTCCGTCCTGGAAGTCCTGCCTGTCCTTTGCAAAGGCTTGGCTCCAGCGTTCCTGTCGGCTCTGGCTGTCGTCTTGCTTGGCTTCGACTGGTGCATCAGATCGGTTCCAGTCACCCCATCCGGAATAGCTGGAGTAACCGTAGTTCGAATAGCCGTAGCTGGGATAAGACCAAGACCAGCTCGACCAGGATGGTCTCGCGTACCAGCTGTTGCTGCTCCAGCCGCCCCAGCCACCCTCAGGCTTCTCACTCGGCCGGTCTCCTTCCGAGCCAGGCTCCTCCTTTGCTTCAGCTCTGTCCCAGGGCACCTTCTCATCCTGACTCCAGCGTCCTTTCAAGAAGGAGCAGATTTAAACACCGCCGTGAGTGGCTGGGCATGTGGCAAAGCTGGCTCAAGAATCTGAGGCTGCCGCCTTGCCACCAAGAGCCCTCGCAAAAAGCTGATGGCTTTCTTGGTGGTATTGCTATTGTTATTGCTCTACACTTCGAGTACCATGGCCAGTCTCATCTCTTGCCAACAAAACACTCTTCGCCTTCCATCCTGTCCCATGACTAAACTAAACTGCAACTTAAGCAAGCTAGCCCCGGCCTGGTCGTACCATCGTGACCCCCAGCCAGGCGAGTAGCTCCACCCTGAAGCCAGCGGTCTTAGCATGGAAGGCTCTCTCCGTAATGCTTACGACTTACGATAGATCCAGAATCTCCGAAGTAGTCTTTCGTGTAGAACCGATAATCGATAAAGACTACATAAGTCACGAACTTGACCTACATCAAATATGACCAACGTGGCGGGCAGGGACAAGCTAAGACTAACTCGTGGTTGAGCTACTGACCCCATGTACTGTTCGTGGTTTACCTGGGCATAGTCACATACCTGAAATTGCACATGTGCACTGTGTAAAGCCAAACCAAAGAGTTCTACCAAGCTAATGCAGCTAATGGCTGCTGTTCTGAAAGCCGGCGCTGACTCTATGAAGTCGCATGACCCGCAATCACAACCCTGACAAATCAAAACGGCAAGTGCCTCCTCCCCATCCCGCGGCCATCCGCTCAAAGCGTTGCTTGTCGTTGGCTGCGACGAAAACTTGCAACACCGAACTTGTGTTCAACTCTGCAGGAGAACTTGATGACTTGCCGTGCTCAGTGTTTTCTTCCACTTGTTCGCTGTAGACTTGTTGCTGCCTTTGCCTTACTCAGGAAAAGTCGAGACTGAAAACTGCACATGCCACAGAACCCTCGTTTTTGCCAAGCGCTTTCATCACATGTAAACCCGATGCATCCATCCATCCATCCATCCATGTGTCCTTTTTTGATCTATTCCGCAGGCACCCTGCGGCGAGCAGCACGCAGCTCCCGACCTGCGTGCTCGCAGACTCAACAGTCAAGCAGTTCGGGTCTTTGGGATGGTTTTCTTTCTTACCAGCTGTTTTTAAGATCTTGGTTTTGGAGAGTTTCAGATTTCAATGACGGTTAGTGAGGCATTGAAACACTGGCAGAACAGACTCGCTTCTGAAGGAACAAGCAACCTGTCGTCGCCTTCCCTTCGGCTATATCAGAATACGAACTGGGGCTTTGACGGATTGCATCGCGACATTTTCGTGCAGAAAAGTCTTCCTGGCAGAGTCGTTGCTTGGCTGCAAACGGTTCGTCGGAAGCAAGGCAACCGTGCCTGGGAACCATCTAGCCGAATTACCCAGAAGCAGCGATGCTCTTGATTCGGTGGTGGCGCGAAATCTACCTGCTCATCTCCAGTCTCCAGCTGATGTTCAACGAACTCTTCAAGCACATGGCATCCCGCTTTTTGATGCGGCTGTCCCTGGCTTGCCTTGATTGACCGAAGCCCCCCACCAATCTTGCGCGTCACATCGGGATGGTAGTTCAAGAGCTCCTGTGATGTGCACTCAGTAACACGATCTGCCAGCAAAAGGACGTCCTGCCCCCATCCCAGGGCTTCCTTGACAACCTGTAGATCGTCACTGCTCTGGATCTCCTGACATCGGAGGATATGCGTTCAGAGAACTCAAGACATCGGCCGATTGGCTGGTGCAAAATGTCCTCTCCCACTGTTGCCTGATGCTGCAAACACTTGCGGTTTCTGCGGGTGCAGGGCACGAATGCAACTTCTGTGCACGTCCATGTAAGCATCCCGCCCCGTGCAGGATGTCCCGACTCGCCGCCATGACGTGCTTCAGTCTTTGTGCTTCTGCAAACGAAAGTTGGGAGTTCTTGGCAATCAAATCGACAAACTCTGGTGCAACGCAACATAAGCAGTTGCACAACCCTGCCTACATCGATCGGCATGTCAGATGGCTGTTCCCACGTGGTCCGGCCAGAGGGCACATGCCTGCCAAAACACCGTCGCACGAGAGTTTGCCGTCGTCGGTGCAAGCCATAACCCAGCAGGATCTGGGGCATGGGCCAATAATAATTCCTGCCGTACTCTTCGCTCCACACCACCTAGAAAAAGCCAACCAGCTGATGCTCGCTCTGAAAGGGAAAGCAAGTGACACTTTTGCAGCTGACTCTGCGCCCTCGAGGCCTTCCACTGGCTGTCGGGCACCGTTCGGGGCTTCTGTGTTACATCTTCGGAAGCTCGCCCTTGCCCCGTCGCGGTGCTTTCAAGGCTGTGCTCCGATTTCTCGTTGTCTGCCTGTGCAGGCTTCTGGCAGCAACGCAGGGAGGCCTATCGATTCAGCAGCACGCGTTGCTTTTGCTGAGTCTTGTTTGGGGTGGACCCGATCGCTAAGGGCTTGGTACCCTTGTTGACGTCGTCCGGGTTTTCACCAGCGACACAAGTAGAATCTACTACGGTGAATGCAAAGGCAGCTTGCTGTTCGTGTGTTTGTAACAGGAGTTTTGGCGGTTGACATCAGTCTGGGGGAGTTTTACGTTTCTGCCCGAAGTCGCGCTTGGACATCCTGGATATGTCGGATCTGAATCTCCAATACGAAACCGCATGCTGACAACATCTGACAACTTTGCGGAAGCACGTGAACACAAAACAATAACACAACTCTACCGCATACAATTAGCCATGTGAGAGCAAACCGCGGCCTGCACGACCTGGGGCAGATGCCACTGTGATGTGCCAGTCGCTTGATGCCTAGTCAACTTACAAAAAAGCATCTGATGCGCAAGAAAGTGGCCGCTGACCAGTTATGGTTTGAAGCCCCGCGATGAGATCGCAATGCAACAGTTGCGGCCAAACGACCAATAGTACGGTCGGGCATACCTCAGGTAGCCGCAACTTTTTGTCACGGGCAGCTACAACAAAATTCGTGGAAAACCACAATTCACCGAGCCGCTTTTCGCTATAAAACTCCTTTTCAGGAAAGCATATGCATGCGACTGCTCCGGCTGTTGCTTGCCATGTGCCATCACGTGCCGCTCCTGCCAACCAGCCGGTAAGCTAGACAGACGACGAAGTTGGACCCATCGGCCTGCTGCATAGGAAGCGGCTTCCATGCTTTTCGGGTTGGGGATTGCAGTTGGTGCACATAGCCACGGCCACTTGCGACAACGGGCCATTCTCACCCCCATGAGTAGAGATAGCGCATGCTCTGATGCAGCACGAATATCACCACTGTAACAAACAAAACGTGCTGCAAGATGCGACCTAATGTTGTTTCTGGTACGACTCGTAAATTGCACGAGGTTTAATGAAGTTTATACATCGGCTGGTTGCAACCATGTGGCCCGGGATGCGCTGCCACCGGCTTGGCCGGATGCGGGTGGCTGGTCGAAATATCGCCGCCAAGTTCCACATCACACACTGCAAGGACTGTGAGATAGGCCAGTTCCAAACAACATATGCCGAATGCGAGGGCTAACTAGTGCTGCGTCCAACGTGTTTTGGCCAGTTGCCTGGTGAAGGTAAATGGTCCATGGTTTATGATGAGGCTCTCCCAAGACAATTGTGGTGGACGGGCACTTCACATGCAAAACCATGACAACCACACTGGACCACACGTATTTGTGAAACACATTTAGTCACTCATGGTCGCAAACAATCGCGTTGAGCTGCAGCGTGTACGAGCAGAGGCCAAGAAACGCGGAGGAAGTTGGCGGCTTCAGGTGCCCGGCCCCCAACTTCGATGCCAAAATCTAGAAGACCCTCATAGGAAGACATTGGCGGTGGTTTCGAGGCCGTTGGGTTCACAGCCACAAGAAAAAACTAGGCACAAGAAAAAACTAGCCAGACAAGAGCCGCGAAAAAAAGCTAGGCAAGGCTAGAACAAATAGATACATACTTGTAATATGGTCATGTGCTGTGCTGGGTAACTTACCATACATGGAAAGCTGCAAACGAAACTATGCACTTTTCTTGCGAGCTGGCGTGGTACCTGACGCAGAGCGAATGGGCAATTTGCCTCAAGTGGTATACTGCAAACGAAGATGTGTTGTCTTCCTGCGAACTTGTTTGGCAACTGATTCAAAGCTACTTTTCTTTCACGGTAGTGAGTCGGCCCCGAATTGGAAGCTGCAAACCAAACCAGCCAGTTTTGTGCGCTTGTTGGTAACTGAATCATAATCAATCAACCCTGCCGTCAACGGGCTCCTTTTTGATGCTCGGCATCATGAATCGAAAACTCGCAGACAATCAGGTCAACGGAAGCGGAATGCCGAATCAGCTTCGCACCCAGGTTGTTCGTGTGTTTGATGACAGTTTCTCTGGTTGTTCGTGTGTTTGATGACAGCTTCTCTTTTGACGTGGCCAACGTCTTGATTTTCGAGTTGCTTGGCTGGATGCTAGAGCCGCGGTGTGCAGCTGAGGCTGCCGTTCTTCGTGAGATCCGGCCTCATCTCTCTTGACGCGCCTCGGCTGGTAGATCGCTTGCTCGCGAGAAAAGTTCGTGCGTCCAGCCGTACGGGCTTTGGGTGGGCTTGGGTTGGTTGCACCGGAGGGGGCCATGGATGCGTCCGGAGCACCAGCGGCTGGTGTCGTTTGTGACAACTCTGGGATGGGAACGCGCTGCCCCGGACAAGCGAGCACTTCGGAGAGGATCCTCGGCAACAAACCCGCAGCCAACGCGAGGGATGGGAACCTGTGAGCAGGGCAGACCGGTGGTTTCGGCACATGCTGTAACAAAGGATCAACGGTGGCTTTGCAGCGCGTGCAGACCAGACCCACTCCGGTATCCCGCGCCCTTTCTGCCGGCAGTGGACAGGGGCCCAGTGCATGTGGCAGTTCCTGCCATGCCGCATCCGTGGTGGCATGCACAGAGTCTGCAACGAATAGCCGCAGGCAACATGCACCGTGCTTCAGATCGAACCCTGCCCACCCTCCTTTTGCAATGATGCCGATAGTCACAGGTCCTGCATCCACAGCGTCGTGCCGCCGTGCCGATGAGATGACTTGACATCCCATCGGTCCTGCAGTGCAGCACCCCGAAACATCCAGGGCGGAGAGGGAGGGTCAAAAATTCACAGGGCTCTGTTTCTAGGCCTATGGCCCCAGAGCCTGAATGTTTTGGGTGTCTGCAGTTCCCACTCAACCTCCCAGAAGAGCACTAGCATGTTACATGCACATGAATGTTTCTTCCAACATGCACCGTGCTTCAGATCGAACCCTG